GCATTGACTGAATTAATCATTGTTGTTGTGACCCATGCTCCATACTATTTTATAGTACCTGACTGAACTCAGATAAATATAAATAATAAATAATAGTAAAGGCAAAATATTAAATACAAAACTTGATTAGGTATGTACATGTACAAATATGTCCCTGGCATTTGAAGAGAAACCAGAATACAGGATTTAATCATTGAATGACTGTTTTGATTTTATATATCATTTCTATGCCTTTTTCTTTAATGGGAACATTTCTAAAAAATAATTACAAAGAATAAGGAGCAGTTGCCATGATAATCTCTTTTCAGACATTGTTCCAAGTATTTAATGAAAGCAACAGGTCATTGTTTTTTTTAAAAAAAGTCATGTCAACTTGAACAGTTGATATGACAGTAAAGTGAAGCGTGGTAAAAGTTTGAAATACAAAGCTTTTCAGATGCAATATGTGAAAACAATGACGAATCCGTGAAGACTTTTATTAGTTTCCAGGTCTATGCCCGAGTAATAAACCCTAATCCAGCAGAGGTAAGCACTTCCGAGACTTTGATCAATCGAACGACTCTTCACAAGCCTTCAATGGATATTGATCATATCAAAATGGCGCAGGTGCGATTCAACTTCCGGAATTTGGTCGAAAAGCTCGCTGATCGTCCCTGAAATTTCCTTTAAAGGAAATTGGAAAACTTTTCCGTCGGAATGTTCAAAGAGGTTGCAATCTAATCGAGTGGATGTTGATCAGATATATTTTGAATGAGGCATTATTTGTCGCATGAAGTTACAAGTGTAGTCTATTAGTTGTAATCTGTTTTTCGCGATAACAAGTAGATAGACAGGTAATAAAAGCGCATTAAGAGCTGTAAATTATTTGAACCTGATTTGTTTAACAACAGGAGTGCTAATGAAGCTACTCAATGGTTTCCAGTCAGGCAAGTGTGCTTATAGAAGATCTACAGGAAGACGGCGCATGATCAAAGATACTGATTGGTCACACGAATTTTATATCGACTTAATGAAGTAAAAACAAGTTAACAAAAGAAGTCGTTTCCTTTAATACAGTTATTTATTGATGTTGTCAATAATAATTTATTGCAAGATAATATTCGTGTATTCTAAATTTGGAATGAGTATGTACTTTCCCACATCATTCTTTGCAGTACTGAAGTGTTAAACAATGGCCTGAACATGGTGATAACCTCACCATTTAACTATTCATATTTAGTTTTTAGTATGGTACAAAAGGTAATTAATGTGCAGAATAAAGTTATACAAAAGTACGATGGTTACAATACCTCACCCTAAAATTCAGGACAGCAAAGAAATGTAAAGAAAAAAGGTTACTAACTTTCCAGTGTTATTTTCAAAGTATGAATATTTCGCCTATAAGGACACCTACAATCCTCGCCTTGTAAAAGAGTAAACCATTCTCGTGGTCACACGTCGTCAGACTTTTTGTTTCAGAGTAGTGAAGTATGTTAAAATGAGGATGATGATGAATTATTGACCGTGTATAGTGGTGTGGTTAAACAAACGAGAAGTTTCATATATCTGATTTATTTGCCATTAGTACGCCCACGTGATTGCCGTAAAATATACAACTCGTGCTACATGTTCATAACAACACTTTGTGGCCCATTATGCCTAAGAAATGCTTTAATTATTATTTCTCATTTTTTTTTTTATTTTTGATGTACTTTTATAGTTAAAAAAGTTGCTCATTGGCTAATTACTTGAACCATTTGTTTCTTCTGTTGCTTTTTGGTAATTAATAGTTATATTGAGTTAGTATGTAAGTCAAAATACTAGTCATTTACATTTTCGTACTTTTATGACAAATAATTTCATAATAAAAGCAACTTTTCTAATGTAACAATTATCTAGAATGCTATTAAACCATTATTTCTACGTTACTCGTATAACACTCGTGTTTGGTCTTTCTAAAGTAGTAAACGTTTAATTGTTTCTGAGACATAATGTGCCTTTAAAAACAGACGAAGATACAACAGCTCCTTATATCTTAACATATATAAATCATTCTAAAATTTGAATTGGATTTTCAACCTCAGCTGATATATTCCGAGTTCATTTGTTCAGTACTATAGATATAAATGTTCCTGAATATTTTAAAGTGTTCCAGATAAAAAATTTGATTTATTACAATGCCTGATAGACTAGAATATTGGACTCTATGTTAACGTGATAAAACACGTTCGAATTCTTGCATCGCGGAACCATTGTGGCAGGTTTATTAAAAACTGTATGTTCTTGTATCTCAAATAGCTTAGAATTCAACAAAATTCCAGACAGAAACGACTTTTGTGTGTTTATTTATCTGACCTTTCGTGTACTTTCTGTGTTTTATTGTTCTTGTTGGTATTTTTTTCTTCCTACGCCTTCTTATGTACGCCTTGAACGAAACCAAATTACAATTAAGTTTTTATTTTTCCTGAAATATTGGAACTAAAGGAATAAATTTTAACGTAATTTTGTCAAAAAGACTAAGGCAGTTAAAAATCTGATTCCATAGCATGCAATAACGTTGATTTAATCAAAACTGAGTATGGAAATATTGCCGCGTGTGCTTTGAAATATCATGTCAATAAGTGCGGGTACTAATGGGCATGCGGTTTGTTGAACTGTTCACATGCACTAGTGATTTCCTGATTTTTTGCCCGACAGTTACTCGCATACTTTGTGAACAATGTATTGCTTCTAATTTAGTATACGAACAATTTGTATCGGTCTGTTTCTCTTAGATTCATTAACAAATGCGACTTATTTTATCCAACTCTCAAATAACTGCATTTCTGACTTAAAAGTTAAAGTTGCTTGTTTCATTGACCAATTTTGGTATGGTTTAAACATTTTACTATAAACATTTTACAGCAACTTTCCATCTTTACTGGACTTTTTTTTCGGGCACGAGTCAGTGGAGCAGAACCACATACGTTCCGTTAATTAGCTGGATAGCTTCCTCACATATGATAGATTTTAAAATCCCTGCCGGGATTCAAACTCAAAACGGTTAAATACAAGTAAAAAATAGCATATCATAGCACGTTATAATGTTGATTTCATTAACACGGGAATTGAGGTATGGCTGCGTGTTCTATGAGACAAGATGCGGGGTCAAATGGACCTTCGCAACCTTTTTATTATTCGGCGGGATATGGCATTATTTTGAAAATTTTGCGGTTGGCTTAAAAAGAAGGAATAATTACAGTACACTTTCTAAATATTTTACAATGCGTATTTAAGCATAAAGATTTCATCTGATCAATGGAAGAGAATTCTGGCCACTATTTACAATGGTAATAGTTCAAAAGTACAAACAAAAACTTTTTTTATAAACATACTAATCCGTGATAAACGTGCTTTAAACGATAATTTCTGAGTGTTCTATTTATGCAAAAATATGACTGAGTATAAATGTAATGAAATGGTATAATCACACGAATAACCTGTCAGTTAAATACCAGGAAAAGGATATGGCAAATTGCCCGTAATCTACCCGGAAATCAAAGTGAATTAAAGAGTCTACGGCCGAAAAACCGTTCTTGAATCTTTAATTAGAAAGGTGTCTACAGAAACATTACCTTATGAGTAGGTCTGGCAAGACCAGTCTGCAGTCTGACATGATTACACTGTTTCTGTCTTATTAAGGATGAACAATTTCAAATTTAAAGGGGAATTGTCCAGCATACAAATTAAAAAAGGTACATACTGTATATTTTGCTCATATTTTGGATTTTGAAAACGTAAAGTTTTATTTCGAAACATATTTATTTAAAAGAACTCCACTGAGTTTTTTTAAATGACGGATCTTGAAATATTTTTGAAATTTTTATACCATTTTTGTAGGTCTACACCAGTAACTTGCGTGCAAAATTTTTAATCACTCACTCAATCAGTTTTTCCAAAATAATTGTATTTATGTGCAGTGGTATGTAAATTTAAACGCATTAAACTCAAATCGGTCAACTAAATATCGATTTGCAACTTAAATCTGAATATTTTTTTCATATTAAGTTTTTAATTTTAATTGCCCCAGTTGCTCTGTGTAAGATTATTAAAATTTATGTTTTTGGGTTTTAGAATCTCAGTGGGGCTCCTTTAAACTCTATTGTGAAACAAGTTCTTGCAACTTTTTTGATTTTGACACTAAATAGAGTTTAAACATTTACCCAGAACTCGACATTTTTAAGTCCGCTTTCAGGAACTAGCCAGTATTGATGTCAAATAAGGCAATGTGGCCATGGCAGAAGTACGTAGAGCTTGAAACCATGACCCCCGAGTTGACAGGCAGGCAGGCACCTTAACTACTAAGACACCACTCCCTGTCAAAAGAGGAAAACATAACTTGTATAAATTTCATAGTTTGAAGAGGGTCCTTTGTCAAATTAATTAATCAAATAAATATGCAAAAATCTTTTTTTTCTTGGTATTGATCACATCATTTTGAAATACAAACAGACATTATACATATAGTGGTATATACATGCTTTACAGCAATAGGCGACAATTGCTTACCTTATAATTTATACACCAATCATACAGGGTATTATTGTGAATTATCTAAGACTACATACAAAGTATTATGTTTAAAGGAACACCACTGAGATTTAATGCCTAAAAACATAAGATATGAATTTAATACATGGATCAGCTGGGGTACTTAAAACATAACAATATAATTATTTGCGAAAAATAATTAAGAAATACACTCAGAATTAAATAAATTGATACATGTGATCTCATTTTTTCGCCTTTCTTATCACAATAATCCGTCATTTTTCACAATGACAATGATTATTTTTGGAAAAAAGGAGCTGGCGAATGATCTGTATTTTGCACACAAGTTATTGTTCTAAACATACATCAAATGGAACATGAATCTTGGAAAATTATTTCCAGTCCCGTCATGTCAAAAAAACATCAGTGGAGTTCCTTTAAATTCCCATGAAGGTCACCACACCACTGTTACATCAAAACCAAGACATATACATGTTTATTATGATATATTTATTGCTCCTTTTTATATATAAATATAACAGCAATTACAAATTTAAGAAATACACTCAGTGACCAGTTTAAATGAATAAATAAAATAAGTATGCAAAAACAAATTAAGCGATTATAACTAATAACAGATCAAATGCTCAACTTTAACTGATTATATCTGCAACTGACTTGAGCTGGACTGTATGACTAGATGGCAACTCAGCCCATATTTATTCTAGGCTTAAAACTGCAAAAGCCTTGTAAAGATTAATTGGTGAAGTTAAATATTAGTGAATTTCTACTTTCAGGTTTGTTAAATTAACATACATGTAACAGATGTTTAGTAAACAGTCATTTTCTTGAAAATCTTCAATTTGCAAAATTAGCAAAATTTAATTCCTCACTAAAATTTTTGATTTTACATTACTGTGTATTATCAAGTAAAAATCAATTTTGAAGTACACATCAAATGTAAGTAACTGTTATAGGGTACTTTTAATACAAGTAATTAATATGTCATTTATTTATAAGTTAAAACCAAAAGACAAGTGTTTTACATTGTATTTAAAATTTGAGATATTGAGATTATTTGAGATCCATATTTCAAACCAAATTTTGTTTACAAAAATCAGGACAGTCTCATTTTAACAAAAATATATATTTTACATATTGTATTAACCCTGTGGTTTACGTTTTTCTTTCATTAATATAAATTTTCAAGATAATCAAGGAAAATATATGACTTCCATGTAAACTGATGAAGCTCTCCAAGAGGTAATGAATTGCCTATGCCCCTAAATTACAGCAAAGTCAAGGTACATATCCATGCTGAATTTTAGCTTCCAAGATATGACTATCCTTTGAAGTTGCAAGCCTCCAGATGAGCCAAAATGCCTCCAGATAAACCAAAATGAGCCTAAATGCCTCCAGATGAGCCAAAATGTTTGAAGAAAATCAAACTTGAGAAAACTGTATTGAGATTTTAAGAAAAGTGAAATTTTCTCAAAACAAGTAATAAATTGCATGTTATGTGTTATTAATGATTGATTTTGCAGTATTTATCATTATACGTTATATTGCTACTGTGTAACTAATGCAGTAAGTACTATTTTTACAAATTCTGACCTATTTTGGTAATTTACATTGACTGTAAATGTGCACTATAAATGCCGTTTGCAATCTGCACATTTCTTTTTTCACTTCACATTATTTTCATTTTAAATGTATTTTCAAAATTTTCATGAAAGTTAGCATGTATCTGGAGGGATGCTGCTTTAAAATAGCAAATAGCAGTTGCAAAGTCAAGCCAAGCAAGGCAAAATTTGTTTAAGCAAGCCACATAATTCTTCAGTCATATGTAGCCTTTCATGTTTTACTGATAGAAAAAGACTATATGTACCTCTCCATGCATTATTTCAGGGAACAGCAGGACACCTTAAGGGTACCACCAACCTTCCAAAAGCTACCTGGATAGTTTCCTTACATAAAAGAATTCAGAATATTCAGTATGATTCAAAACCACAGGAATGACTGATCAGTGGACATCCTTAACATGATAGCCTCCTCAAAAATATAAAACATGAATAGATACTTGTTTAAAAACTATGATAACATTGGGTGTATACAAACATTAATTTGAGCAAAATTTTCTTTGTACATATACATGTACCTATATTAAAGCAAATTAAACACAAAAAAAAAACACTATGAAAAAATATTGTAAAAACAAACAAACAAAAAACACAACAAAATAAAGAACAAACAAAAAACATTCAATTACTTGCCCATTCATTATATTTTAAAGCTGAATACCTCCATATAAGCCAAAATATTTAAAAACAAGAGGGCCATGATGGCCCTAAGGTCGCTCACCTGTTTATAGGCCCCCCCCCCCCCCACGTTGCAGGGCCAATTTAACCCAAGGGCTTTTATTTGCACAAACTTGGTAGACACCCATAAGAAGATGTTTCATGCTAAACATATGAGCTCTAGCTCATTGGGCTTTTTAAAAGAAGATTTTTTTAAAGTTTTTACTATACACATATAGTTAAAAACAATGACACCCCTGGGGCCGGGCCAGTTTTGACCCCAGGGCTTTTATTTGAACAAACTTTGTAGACACTTACTAGAAGATGTTTCATGCTTAATATCTAAACTCTAGCTACTTGGGTTTTTTCAAAGAAGATTTGAGCCGCGTCACGACAAAACCAACATAATGGGTTTGCGACTAGCATGGATCCAGACCAGCCTGCGCATCCGCGCAGTCTGAGCAGGATCCATGCAGTTCGCTATCAGTTTCTTTACTTGTTATAGGGTCTGAAAGCGAACAGCATGGGTCCTGATCAGACTGCGCGGATGCGCAGGCTGGTCTGGATCCATGCTGGTCGCAAACCCATTATGTTGGTTTTGTCGTGACGCGGCTCATTTTAAGTTTTTGCTATACACATATAAAGAAAATCAATGACCCCCGGGGCGGGGCCAATTTTGACCCCAGGTCTTTTATTTGAACAAACTTTGTAGACACTCATTAAAAGATGTTTCATGCTTAATATCTTAACTCTAGCTATTTGGGTTTTTTCAAAGAAGATTTTTTAAGTTTTTGCTATACACATATAAGGAAAATCAATGACCCCTGGGGCGGTGCCAATTTTGACCCCAGGGCTTTTATTTGAACAAACTTGGTAGACACCTATAAGAACATGTTTGATGCTAAATATCTTAGCCATAGCTCTTCGAGTTCTTTAAAAGAAGATTTTTTAAGTTTTTACTATATGCATATAGGGAAAATCAATGACCCCCCGGGGCGGGGCCAATTTTAACCCCAGGGCTTTTATTTGAACAAACTTGGTAGACACTTATTAGAACATGTTTCATGCTAAATATCTTAGCTCTAACTCTTTTGGTTCTTTAAAAGAAGATTTTTTAAGTTTTTACTATATGCATATAGGGAAAATCAATGACCCCCTGGGGCCGGGCCAATTTTGACCCCAGGGCTTTTATTTGAACTAACTTGGTAGACACCTATTAGAACATGTCTGATACTCAATATCTTAGCCATAGCTCTTTGAGTTCTTTAAAAGAAGATTTTTTTTAGTTTTTACTATATGCATATAGGGAAAATCAATGACCCCCCGGGGCGGGGCCAATTTTGACCCCAGGGCTTTTATTTGAACAAACTTGGTAGACACCCATTAGAACATGTTTCATGCTAAATATCTTAGCTCTAGCTCTTTGGGTTCTTTAAAAGAAGATTTTTTAAGTTTTTACTATATGCATATAGGGAAAATCAATGACCCCCCGGGGCGGGGCCAATTTTGACCCCAGGGCTTTTATTTGAACAAACTTGGTAGACACTCACTAGAAGATATCTAAGCTCTAGCTCTTATGGTTTTTTAAAAGAAGATATTTAAAGTTTTTTCTTTCGGTTGCCATGGCAACCAGAGTTCTGCATGGAATCAAATTCTTTGAACAATTTTTAAAGGTGACCACCAAAGGAACATTCCTGTGAAGTTTGGATGAAATTGGCTTAGTGGTTTATGAGGAGATGTCATTTAAAGTAAAAGTTTACGGACGGACGACGGACTGACGACGGACGAAAAGCGATCACAAAAGCTCACCCTGTCACTTTGTGACAGGTGAGCTAAAAATCAACACTGAGAAAAATGTACTAAGATTTTAGAAAATGTTAAAATATTCACAAATCAAGAAATAATTTACAATTAATGACTTATATTGCAATGTTAATCACCATATTTCTACCCGCTGACTACTGCAGTCAGGGCTAGTTTTTGCATATTCTGACCTATTTTTAGTAATTTTCATAATTCCAAGTGCTGTTTTAATGTATAAATTACTTTCTTTGTCCACTTGACAATAATTTATTATTTATGTTTGAATACTTTAAAAAATTAACATAACTGGAGGCATGCTGCTTTAAGGATAATGCTAAATAAAAATTTGAAACTAAAATAAACTCACAGCCCTTCAAACCGAAGCATGTGTTCTATCCTTCCAGATCTCAGAATTTTCAATGATAAACTTTTCTTTACAGTAACATAAGTGTTACATAAAATATAAATTTCTGCATATATTATAACATATTTATATATATATTATGCATATAACATTTAAGAGAAAAAAAACACACACACACACACACAATTATCAATATTCATGTAAATGACCAATATCAGACTGTATTTTCAATGTTTCCCAGCAAGATTCATAAGTTAATCTAAATTTAAGTATTTCAGTCCATGTATAAACATTAGTACACATAGTCACCTTAGTGCAATAACTGGTTAACTCATATTAAATTTAAAAGGACTTAACCTGTTACTGCACTAAGGTGACAACATTTTACTAGTATAAGAATGTATATATCTAATTAAATCTGAATTAAATAAGTAACTGTTTATTATATGCAATATGATAGTATTCAATTACAAATTTTAAACTTATTTTGATTACATTTGTGAACACTACATGCCTTAAAAATACATGGATCATCTTTCAAGTTTGCATATAATTTATCATATTCAATAGAATAGCCCTATATAAGTCTCAAACTAATTGTATTTCTGTTACATAATCATATTCAAATTTGCAATCAAATCTACAATGGAACTATGGGATATTATGGATTTTATAACAGCCAATCTGATTGGCCAGAATTGTTCCCAGCATGATCTAATAGGATGGAAGCTGTCAAAAAACATAATTCAACAGTCAACACCATTTTTTTTCTCTTTGCAGAAAACTGTAAATTTGAATAAAATATTAGAAAAATTGAAATTTCAAACAAAAAGATTATCAATGCACGATTCCCTAATTATTTTTATTATTGATTATACACAAGATGGAGGGAAAAACATGAAGCTCAAAAACAGACAAAAAATGCCTGCAAAAGTTTGATATGAATCAATGTCTACTGAGATAAAAAAATATCAGGAGGCCCTATTGACAGTAATAATCCTGACCACAACAAAGGTTTAACCTCTAAAAACATTCATTACAAAATTCAACAACATATTTCTCTCAAATCAAAATGAACTAAAATCCTAAAAGTATAGAATAATGCCTCTATTAGGTTACATGGCTAATAAAGCTGGAAATATATAACAATCAAAAACAATCAAATTAAATATTAACAATATTAGAAAAAAATATACAAAAGGACCGAACAATATATCATTAGTGTACAATTTTAACTGATTAAGGCTCCCCTTTAAATTTATCATCAGCAAAGATTCTTCTATATACATGTAGTGCCTTAGTTAAAGTTACTTAAAGGGACCAGTTTTTTGACACAATGGAACTAAAAAATTTTTTCTTATATATTTATGTATTTCATGTTAATGATGTAGATATGGACTTAATTTCAGATTATTTTCGCCCTTCATTATTCTAGAATAATTATCTTAATTGTGAAAAACTGACCCAAAAATGGAAAGCATTATAAGCTTTTAACTAAATTTTGGCTGATAATTGCAAGAAAATATGATTTTCAAATTAATTCTGAGTATATTTTTTTATGACCACTTAAATTTCCATTTTAAATGTGACAGTTAATCTATGTAAGAAATTCAAGTTTTAGGTTGACCTCAAAGGATTTTTTTACTAATTCTTATGCTATCAAAGGCATATCTATTAAATGCCTGAGTAAAAATAATTGCATGCAGTATAATAAATTTTCCAAACCAGTTATAAACACATGTCATTAAGCAAAGAAACCACCCTGCACATATTTTAGAAAATGCATAAAAACAAGACTATATATGCTTTCCTGTATATAGTTTGTGTTAATTAATAATGGTTTAAGATTTTTTGTTATTTTTGTCAGTCTAAAAATGCCCAACGATGCCAAAAAAAAGCAGCATGTTTCCTTTATTGTAAACTTATAAATGATTCCAGCAAAATAATTTTGTTGTGGTTACTTATAAATTATTTCCATACACTAATAACTAGAATTATTTCCATACACTAATAACTAGTATGTCAGCATAATAAATAAACATGAATTTTCTGACTTAAAAGTGCCTGTAAAATTATACAGTTGTGTATACACAAAATCTTATTAAAAATAATAAAAATATTTTCATTGGCCAGCAAAGTTATATACATTTTGTACATGTCCTTTTTAAAAAAAAATTCATCAAAGACTACATGATAGCTGAAATGTCCAAAAATTTTTTAAAAAATTTAACCTTCACCATTGTTTGCAATTTGTTCCATAAGCTCTGCTATTGTATTTATAAAAATTGTCTACTCATTTATGTTTGCAAAAATTATCCTCTTTCAACATCAGCAGTATGTATGTTTAAAAAAAATAATAATAAAAATTACAAAGAAAGTGTTATCAAAATATTAAAAAAAAAAAAAAAAAAAAATCTGATGAAAGACACATGTTTATCAAGAAAACCTTACCCTTTTACAAAAAAAAAAAACCCAACATATTTATTCAATTTGTATGTAACAATGAAAATATAAAATTTTAGAAGCAGACCCTTTCTCTAAAAAAATTATACATGTACTGGCATGCGAGCAGTTCCCGTACAGAAGCAGTACCCGTATTTTTCATTTAAACGCTTGATTTTTAGATGCATTCTTCAAAAATTCATTTCAAATCAAGCAGATACATAAACGAGACAAAATCTAAGTGTCAGTTCGGCAGTATGTATAAAAAGTCTCATTTTAAATCAATTTCACCTGTGCGTTGTCAAAACGTGACCTTGTTTTATCGGGGGGATTCCGTCCTTGCGCGCATGCGCAACATACTTACACGTGAGGCATGTTAAAGGGTTTTCCACTAATACCACCTGTTTACAGATAAGAAGGCAATGTGATTAAAACTTGTTTAATTATCAGAATTTTGACCAATATTACTATATAAAATAATTTTATGGCTTTGATGCGTAAAATATCATGCATACAAGCATGCCATCGCATGTGAATGCGTTGGGGGTAACGGAACCGGGTAATAGATACACGCGTTTAGTCTACTTTCTATTTCCTGAATTACATCTATTTATCTCTTAGAAAATGGTCTGTTCAACAATCATAAATGAAAAATAGGTCCGATATAATAAAATTGTATAATTATAATGGGTTAAATTTTATGTACGGGAACTACTTCTCTTCATACAAAATAATGGATAATTTCTGTACCCCATATGAGGCCTCATAACTAAGGGTTATTCTATGTTTAGAACATGATGGAATTTCCATGATTTATGTGACGAGCCGAATATTGATGTGTAACATTCAAATTTTGGTGAGTGAGCGTAATAAAAAATAATGTTTAAGTAACTACGATTTTTGTACGGGAACTGCTCGCATGCCAAGACATGCTTATCAATCAATAAGAGTACAACATATAAAGGTACTCCAATGACATATTTTTTGGACAAAATATGGAAAAAAAAATCATTTTTTTAAGCAGTTGATATAAGACTATACCAATTTCTCCTGTGCAAAATTTCAGATCATTTGGTTCACTATGTTTTTCCAAAATAATTATTTTTATTATGCAAAGTGACCCCAATATGATATGCACCCAAAATAGGCAAAAAAAAAATAATCTCATTAAATATTTATAATCATTTTAATTCTGAGCTTATTCCTTTTTTGTCTTTTTCAAATTTTTCCGTTTTAAGAGCCCAAGTTGCTCTATATTAAATTTTCATATTTTATGTTTTTCTACACTTTGTGAACTCAGAAGAGCTCCTTTAAGACTGTTAGTGTCAGTCATGTATATATATTATGTATTAATGTCCATATGCATGTAGATTGTATATTATGTACTAAGGTCCACAGATTTTTTTTTTTTAAAGAGTATGCTAAAAATCGACGATACCGCATCAAAAATTCTAACTTGGAATGTAGTTATCTTCCTTTGCTGTATATAAGACTGCAATTACAAGAAATGAAATAAAAGTGTTTTTTTGAAACCCTAAAGCCTTTGCCACCAACAAGAAGCCAGGAAAGTTGTAAATCCATGCAGTCAGACAAGACTGTATATAATAGGCTGCCTAATTTCCAAATCATCATTGTCAATAACCCTAAATTAAGCAATGGACTGTTCCAAAATGGAAATTGGACGAGTCCATCCATGAAATTCAAGGGGAAACAGATTAACTGGAAAGTTTTGGAGGGTAAACAAGAAGTGGAGAATCCATGGTTGCGAAGCCCGCCACAATTCCACCTTCATCATCTTCTGTTGACTTTGTCCTCAAAACATGCCCTGCCTCTGCATTATAAAACTCTTCTTCAGCAGTACTGAAATAATAATTTATATAATAATAAAGTTTTATTTTATTTATTTGGTTAGATATAGGCCGGTATTTACACAGTTTTGGTCATATCTCGGAAGTCGGTCCGGACCATCTTTACCCACTTTCCTGGATAACTGACCATAATTACCAATACATGTAATCCGGAACTCAGCAAAATAATGTAGGTTTTTCCATGCTAAACCCCCAGTACAAACAAACTTTTACCATTATAGCTTCAAGGTGCACTATGGGTCACAATAGATAAGTAAACCTGTTGTACTTAGTTTCGAAGCTTTACTGTAAAAAGTTTGTTTGTACCCTGGATTGGCTGGGAAAAACCCAAATATTCTTAATTCCTGAGTAAGTCTATTTTTCTGCAAGTGAATAACTTTATCCCACATGATTTCTAAATCAGTGGTACTTCATAACTATAAACTACTGTCTTAGAAATGTGCTTATGACAATAAGGGGGTTCTATGCAAGTGAATCATCCAACCAAATCGAGGATTGAAAAGTAATGGATTTAACTCAATACAGTGTTGGAGCAGTACCTCATGACGCTTGCAGAAATCATGATCACAAAATAGACAAATACCTCTTTCTTCGCCGATCCTTACTTTTTTCATTCATTATCGTATATAAATTGGTTTTAAGAGATGACTTTGTGATTTGAAATGTCTACCTCTCAACCAAGAGAATGTTGATCTGTGCAGATGCATACTGGCACCACAAATATGTTATTTGTTAGTTCTAGTAAACACACATAGTCGAGAGACATTTCAAAACAATTCCTGTATTTCTTTTCGAGCCCACAGAAATCAAAATGATAAATAAAGAAATCAGATAGTCATTATTACCCGAGGTATACACCATATATTCCCAGTTCACTTATCACATCCCTTAGTATTGGTTCTTTTCCTTCTTTCAGAAGGTAATTTTTCTGCGGCCATGGAAATATTCTCTCCATCAAAATATAGGCGTTCCTTTCTTCGCTATCTCTGATGCCGGACAAGAACTCCCTGATATCCTCTCCATACACATTATTCCCTAAAAATAAACAAAAAATATTGTAATTAAACATTACATGGATTCAGTTTGCTTGGTTTCAATGCTGATTTTAAAATATTTTTGATCACGTCAGTATGATCAAGGTGGTCCACTTACCGACTTTCCTCAATAACTAACTAGTAAACCAGTACTTATATCTACTTAAATGACAAACTACAAATCTCACTTGAAGGGTCGCCAATTCAATCCTTAGTCTATGCCAAATTTCTCTACGACAATAGATCTCTGGGTAATTTGTCTCTTACCAGTGATTCAAGGTCATGGTTACAGCAAAAAATATTCAAGGTCATGGTTACAGCAAAAAAGATTCAAGGTCAAGGTTACAGTAAAAAATATTTAAACTTCCTTGTATATATAGTGTTAAGATTGAGGAAAGGAGGTAAAAAATTTGGTGGTAAAGATTTTAACCCCTCGTATTTGGCATGTATTTTTCATTTGCTTTTACAAGATGCTGACATATTGTCTAAAATTTTCTTCTGCTTTGAAAAAATGCTAAAAAATCATCAACTTGTGAAATTCTACAATGTAGTTATAAAACATGTCATCATTCAGTTCCTCTGGCAAAATGTCAACACATGTGGATTTGTTTTGTTAGTTTAAGTTACAATGACACTGTAATGTATATATGAGCCGTGTCATAACCAACATAATGGGTTTGCGACCAGCATGGATCCAGACCAGCCTGCGCATCCGCGCAGTCTGATCAGGATCCATGCTGTTCGCTATCGGTTTCTCTACTTGTTATAGAGTTTGTAAGCGAACAGCATGGATCCTGATCAGACTGCGCAGGCTGGTCTGGATCCATGCTGGTCGCAAACCCATTATGTTGGTTTTGTCGTGATGCGGCTCATATGGTTTTATTGTTGAAGAAAGACCTCTGGTGCCCTTTTGTTCATAACTTCCGGGACATGATACCAGTAGAACCACCAACCTTCCTGGGTAACTTCCTCACAAAATATTAACCACATGAATGATTAATAATTTAATAATATTAAAAGTCAAGGGTAAATAACTCATCAAAATGTGTGCTCCTACCAAATACCAAGTTATTTCCCTTTGAAAGAAATGGACATAAAATAAAGCAAAATGACTTTAATTTTAAAGTCTGTGGTGGTGTGTACTGTTTATTTAAACATGAAAGTAAGATCATTCTGCTAATGTATGATAAATTAACTAACCTCCACCTTCTCTTTGAGGTTTTAAAACAAACTTTTTAGGTTGTGCGAGTGCCATTTCCACATTTCTGTCTCCTTCTTCATTCTATAATATATATAAACATTATTATTTCATTCTTTACAAATACAGAAAACTCTCCAGATCCAACTTAAGCTAGTTATGTAGAGTGGTGTTCTTTTTTTTGCTGTTTGTTTATTTTGTTTTAAAGGATTCCAAGGGTTCAATTTTCAGTTGATAAAAGGGCTTAATATCAGTTCAATATACATGTATAAGATGGTTCAACACATGAAAGCCATTCCTTTAACAGATAATATGACAATATTTTAGTTTAAACCACGGATATACATTATGCAATTAAGATCCATGGATTATAACTGATGACATCACAAACTTATGAGGGTAAAGAAAACAATTTTGTAAGGATGTCTTTCTCTCAATTAAGACGCTTTGGATTCATCATGTCTTACTGGGGTCATGAAAATTTATCAGTACAAATTAGTCCAAAAACAATTATAAAGAGATTTATATATAAATTTAAATACATAAGCTTAAAGGAAACCTTAATATATATAAGCATAAAGATAACCTTAAAATGCATAGCTTAAAGACAATTTTAATATATTAACTTGTTAATCATCTTAAATATATAACTTAAAGACCATTTTAATATATAGCTTAAAGATAACCTTAAAGACAATCTTTAATATATAAGCTAAAAGAAAACCTTCAATATATAAACTTAAATACAATCTTTAATAAGTAAGCTTAAAGAAAACCTTCAATATATAAACTTAAAGACAATTTTAACATATAAGCTTAAAGATAAGCTTAAATATATAAGCTTAAAAATAAGCTTAAGTAAATAAGCTTAAAGAAAATCTAAAATATATAAGCTTATAGATAAGCTCTCATCACAAACGTGCTCAGATAAAATAGAAAATTCTCCCTTAACATACTCTATCTAAACTGTACTGGCCAGCGAACGTTTTCCTGATACAATCGCAAACATCAATATCCTTAATGAACTTTTCCAGGACGCCCGGAACAGCCAACTCTTGTTGCACCTTCTTACAGCCGGCCAACTGTAAACCTACATTTGGACACTTTATTGCACAAGACTTCTCCATTAATAAACGGACATCCTTTTCCTGTAAATGAAAAAATCCGTCAACTAAATTGTACTGTGATGAAAAATGAATAAAACAAAAGGGCCATAATGGCCCTGAAATTGCGCACCTGAATATAAAAACTCTCCATGACAAGGAACAAGTCAGGCCTTTAAATGACTAGCCACATTGAATTGGGAAAATGCGTTCCTGACATTGCTTTAACAAGACTTTCTCTCTATCATTTTAATCATGGAATATTATAATAGTTGACCTGTTATAAGAGACGGTGCTTTTTATAAACGTCTCGGCCCTTTTAACCTTAGGTAATTTAAATATGCTGTTCAACTTTTTTTAAATACACGTCATTTTAACTTAGTATGGGAGCAATCCCATCTTATTCCTATCATGGGTTACGTACTTTTATACAAACTTGTGGTAGGAATTATGGCACACACGTAAACACATGTACCGATAAAACTGTAGACAAATTAAATTAGTCCCCATATAAATTAAGCAAGTTTTAAATGAAGTATGTGCTCGCCCATATGGTTCATTCCGGTGGCGAGGGTAAACAAACCAAACACACACACACGAACAAGTAATATTGTAAACTATAAACAAAAGCAGATATAAAATCAGAAACTGATATCACAAGTTCATATTTGTATCTGAAATAGTGCATGTGTAAATACGCTAGGGTAAAAAAACAACAGTTCCAAAAGATGTGTAAATATAAGGAAAGCCAATTTTGACCCCAGGGCTTTTACTTGAACAAACTTGGTAGACAATCACTAGAAGATGTTTAAGCTCTAGCTTATTCGGTTTTATAAAAGTAGATTTTATTATGTTTTTTGACTATTTACATATGTGAAAGTCAATGACCCCCAATGGCCAATTATGACCCCAGGGATTTTATTTGAAAAAACTTGGAAGACTCTCACTAGAAAATATGGCTTTAAAAGATCACATGTAAGTGAGTATGACATCTCTCATGATATACATGAAGATGTATATGTATATTTGTATTTCATAAAGCTAAAAATGATAATTCAAGGGAAAATTGCAAAGCTTTAGTAACATGCTATTTAAAGTCAATATAGCAATACACTAGTATAAATGTGTATAAAAGTATTTTAATGTGAAGTTGAATGTTTTTCTACATTAACTCAATGAATTTTAATTGATAATCTCTTTACAGTCATGAGTTTGTTTTAAATCAATGTTATCCATATGCTTCAACTTCATCAAATGCCTTTAAACAATGGACTTTTCCAATTTCTAGCAGTGAAATTTTTTATCATGCCTTTTCTAATAATTACTGGGTCAACTGCTCACAAAAAGTACCACAAACAAAACCATGTGTTCTTTTGTGTAAACTAAGTCAATAAGTGTCAGATGACTATGTATTATAACAGTGTAGCAATTGGATAGCCATTTTGACAATCTGCATCAAACTGTAATCACTGGAAAGGTTCATTGGCTTTTTTATGAAAGGAAGCTATACTCAAGTTTGCCTTAGATTTTCCGTACCTTATTTGTTGGATAATGATTCGGCATATAACCATCTCTGTAATATATCACAGCTACCTCTTTACCATCGCTGAAAATAAATTTAAACTATCTCAATCATATCTATCAAAATCATAACCATCCAAATCATATCTATTTCAATTATATATATCATCATCCCAATCATCCAATCATATCTATCATTACCAACAGCATCTCTATCATCATCCAAATCATATATATCATCATTAAATCACCCCAATCATATTTGTAATTACCACAATCATATATATTCATCATCCCAATCATACATAACATCATCCCAATCACATAGATAAACATCCCAATTACATATATCATTGCCCCAATCATATATATCATCATCCCAATCATATCTATCAAGTTGTTTAAATCAAGCAACCAACAACGTAAAGTTTGGTCAGTCTCTATGAATTTCTTTGGTGGCATAAACAACTCAGTATTGCTGCTAAAATTCAATAGAATTATCCAAGTAAGAACATATATAAATTGTAATACTTTTCACTGATATTGTCAAATTGTCAATGGAATACGTTTGTTTTTAGTACTACACATAATTAAGTAAGTCAATGATAAAGAACATGCATGGGTCCTAAGAAGGAGTCACAAGGGCAAGACACACACCTGCCACTCTTCTGATCATTAATAAATTTGGAGTTACATGTGTTACAAACTGGTCTAAGTGCAGACAGTGTGACTCTATGACAGTCTGACAGGCGGACAAGGCCTATATACCAAAAGGAAAACGAGAGGTAGGGGCATTTAAATGAAACAAAAAAGCCATTATAAAACCATTCTATACTTACAGCATTAGTGTGTTCCATTTAGTTAACTTGCAATGTTCTGACGCATTTAATAATGTACTGTAGACCACATGTATATTGTGGTTAATCTCATGTACAAATCGTTCCAACCATCTTTGATCCACTGAGTTCCTCTCTACCGATTGCACAATAAAAAGTATTACAGCACTGAAAATAATAATAGTACGGGAAGATCAAATTTGGGTTAGACTTTTGCTGTCAAATTGAGCTGAATTAGTTATGTTTCAAAAGTCTGACCATCATAATAGTGGCTGACCAATAATGTATAATGACAATTGTTAAGTATAGAACATAAAAACTGCCAGAAAGGTAAAACAAAATGCCCCATTCTCTCCCTAAACTGAAGGTTACTGATAATTTCTCGAAGGATATTTATAGATATTTCTGTGAGTCACATTGGTTATTGATTATTCAGGTTGCATAAAGTACAAATACATGTATATAAAAATGTAAAACAAATATGACAAATGTGAAATTATTTTAAACATTACTCTACTCTCACCTTTAACACTTGGATGGGCATAATGTCACTTACTCATTGTCATATTTCTAAATATAAACAGGTAGCTCCCTAACAGAGGTCTATTGTGTTCAAGTTTTACAAAGGAATACCAACCTTGATTACTATAAATACGACCTTTGACAACTGAGTCCTGGAATAAATTCTACGGCAAAGTGGTCATGAGCTTTGTGTTTATTGTTTACAAGCTGGCAGTTCTAAGTTCGAATCTTTTAACAGGAGTGATCTTTCTCAAAAAAGCATCTTTGTGCCACAAATAAATATGTTCGTAAGACTGAGAATGCATGCTTCACCTTACAGAATGATGACATCATTGCCATGGTTACAAGTTGTCTGGACTGGACAACAACCATTCCCCCCCCCCCCCAACCCCTCATCTAATGGTTGATATGGGGACATAAAACTCAACAATTTTAAGACAATGAAAGTGCATGGTGCTAGGATGATAAATTGGAACTTACTCTGGGTTACCGTAGCATTCCCAGGCCTTCACAAAACCAACAGCCAGACCATGTGCTGGTTTATTCTCAGGCAGCTAAAAATAAATTATAAGTTGTCACTTTCTTTTACAAAATTTTAAAGCAGAAATCAAACACATGCTTGGACAGATCTCATCACAATATACTAGTATGGCAGTAGTTCATTTTATAGCAAGGAAAGTAAAAACTTCTATTAATATTATAACTCAGACATTGGTATTAAAGGCAACATGTAATAAATAAACCTAACAATGAGGAGAATAGGGGCTTAATGACTAAAATCTTTGTTTATAGACCAAAAGTGTGTTATCGCAAGATTGTTGGTTTGAGCATAGCTGGGTTCATAATTTTCATTCTGAACATAAAACAAATGTATATACCGGAACCAAATTTCAAATATTTATGTCAAAAAGCTCTTGTCCATTTTAATGGTCAGGTCCTCTAAAAAGTTCAAATACCTGAATGAAACAAGTTAAAGATTACAGGAATCCAACCTGGGTTTAGTCTGACATAAACTTAGCAAATTAAGTCTATGACACAAGACTTGCCAAGTCCACTCAACAGGTTTGTTAATTCAAATACTTAGCACACCCAATACTCACTTTAATGTTGCTCAAAACTTGTTTCACAAAGTTATGCTTCAATTAAATATGTTTTGACATTGCATAAAAACAAGACATTTATCAATACCTGATCACAGCTGCATTTTATTCCTGCCTGCTTCATTGTGTACCTGAAAGTAATAGGATTTACCAATTATCACATTACATTTGTATTTTGAACATTCAAAAAAAATCTTGGATAGTTCAACTAACTCCTTGCCTTTATATTTAAAACTTAAGTGTATTCAATAAAGAATTATAACTATTCCACTGTTCATGACAATACAACAACAAGAAGCCTATAGCTGCAAAAAATGCTTAAAATAGACAATGTACAAAATTTTTTTTCGACAATCAATACATTTCAGCAGACAACTAGTTGTGACCATTCTAAATGACAGAAAAAAAATTCCTTACCCTAAATCAGAGAGTATTCAACATACATGTACATTGTAATATGAAACAACCTTATTTGTTTCAGGTAAATGGATCACCCATGGCACTATAAGTACCGGTACTTTGGTTACAAGGTACATGTATACTTAAATAATTAAATTTAAATACATACACCATATTCCTGGAGTCAACAAAGGCAACTACGTATTACAGGTACAAACAATACAACTTTAAACTTTACATGAAAATAAGCATCCCAAAAGAGTTTACTTGTGAGCTATTCATAGCCATTACCTATGAACATTCCACATTGCTGATGAAAGACCTGCAAAGCTAGACGCTATTGTGTTAAACTCAATCTGTTTCAGGTTAAGACTGGCCGGCAGTATTTTAATGGTACAACAACTGTCCTTCACATCCATCATGTAGTCATTACGGAACAAACCCAGGCTAACTTTCTGCAAGAAAAACCAAATAAATACTTGATGATGATTCATAAGATAAATAATCATGAGGATTACTGCCTGTAAGAGGTCCTCTTAAACTACTGGAAATACAAATAAAGTCTTTGAAACCATTTATTTCCATTTCATGTGCTCATTTAACTTTCTGATTTTTCTAGGATTGATGATTTAGATCTGCCTGTGACAGTTTCATGATTCAGATTTGCCTGTGACTGCTTCATGATTCAGATTTGCCTGCGACATCTGATAATTCAGATTTGCCTGTGACAGAACTTAATTAATCAGATTTACCAGTGATAATGTCATGATTCAGATTTGCCTGAGTTTATGTTATGATTTTGATTTACCTGTGATCATGTCAATCTTTAGATTTGCCCTTGACCATGTCATGATTCAGATTTGCCTGTGATCGCAATATGATTCAGATATGCCTGTGATCATGTCATGATTCAGATTTGCCTGTTATCATGTCATTATTTAGATTTGCCTGTGACCATGTCATGATTAAAATTTGCCTGTGATTGCATTATAATTCAGATTTGCCTGTGATCGTGTCATTATTCAGATTTGCCCAAGATCATGTCATGATTCAGATTTGCCTGTGATCACTTCATGATTCAGATTTGCCTGTGATCACTTCATGATTCAGATTTGCCTGTGATAATATCATGATTCAGATTTGCCCGTGAACACTTTATGGGTTTAATAGATTTGCTAGACCAAGAGTAATTTAGATGAAGTTGACCTCTAAATAAAGGCCATCTGTCAATAAAGGCTATTTTTGTTTTTACCATAGATGGCCTTTGTTCACAAGTTAGAATTAATTATGCAATAGTGTTTGAACACTCAATTTACTACAGTACTTTTCATCAAATGCACTTTTTTTAAACTTATCAAATGAAATTGACTGAAGTATTAAATATAGAAATAGTTTATAATACCTGTGTTGATTTCTCCCCTCCTGTTTCTTTATATATATCATACAACATCTTTGTAAACTCATCAACCTTTATAACACTAGAAATAAAATATTAATATCTTAAATCATATTTCCAATATACAAAAAAGTTCTATAATTTGTTAGTGTAACTCATGATTTACTATTAAGAATGTTTTCAAGAATGAACATATAATTTTAACAATTTTCTGCGCAAATCACCAATCACAGATCTTGTGTAAATTATTCAAATAAGTTTTTTAATTGTCAAAAGACTTAAAATTTTTAGTGTTTATTTTTTTTATAGACATACACTACAATAATTTATTTAAAAAGTTGTAAAATATTAAAAATGTGAACTGATTCAGATCCGGTAGATTCTGGTATTTCAGCCGATTCCAGTAAGTCGTGCAACAGCTTAATGATTAATACTAAAATATCTTTGCAGTTTCACATGGAAATTCTATGTAACTTTAAAAGGTAATTATTTCTACTATATTGCCAATTTACAAGCTACAATATATGGCTATAAAGTAAATGAATGGACTTACTTCTTTAGACACTGACAAAGGAATTCTGGATCATTGGCCACTCTGTGCATGAGAAGATTGTAGTGTTTCTGTAGAGATTTGGCTTCCTGGAGAACAGGAACTGGAAGGGGGCTGGGGAATAGCGTAATTGGTGCATACTCACAGTGGCATGTAGAGTGGTGATCATGCTGGGGCTTCATTTGTACACCTGCAGCATATATTAAAAAAAAAAACATTTTAAAAATACTCATTTAATATAGAAATATAAAATGTAAAAGTTAATATAAAATAATTACAATCTCTGCAGAGCAGCAACGTTTGGGAGACAAAAGTTTTTATTATACATATTTTAATCAAATGTATTATGGTAAATGACAGACAATTTAAAGATACAAAAAACTCTAATTCCAGTAACATCAATTCTAACAATTCAACATTTTATCACAGCTTTTTTTTTTTAATTCAACTCTGTACTGCTATTATCTCGCCTTAAATATTGCATTATATTTTATACACATTTTCTTATGCATAAATTAATATGCAATGTATATTACCATGAATTATGTGATATAATGTAAAATTATAAAAAGATGGAACAACATTAGTTATTCACAATCAATATAACAACATTTGTAATATGATACTATTTTCTGGCAATTTTCATACTTTCTTCAGAGCTCAGTTTTTTCTCTACCTTTATAAATTTTTTGCACCTGACATGAAAGTACAAAAATTTAGCAAAATACCATAATCTTCTTAATGTGGTTAAATCCACTTCATAAAATAAACCATAAATCATTGATCAATTGTTTTGTACATACCATGCAGAAGAGCCCATTGTTTGGCCTTTTCTATAATCTGGTCTGCTGTTTCCTTGGAAATTGTCACACCCCATAGATCTAGAGCTGTTGCTGACATATTTTCTGTAGCTATATTAATAATAAATTAGATCATAATCATATGTGATATTTCAACTCGCAAATTTTCATAAAAGATTAACATTTAAAAAAACAGCACCAATGTATTGTTTTTGTTGTTGTTTTTGTTCATTTGTTTTGTTTTTGTTCTTTACTACATGTACATGTATGTCATACAAGTTATTTACAAAACCAAGGATCGTATCGATTTATTCAGGGAATAGACATAAACACATACAATGTTATCACATATATCAACTTGCATATATATAAAAACACACACATAAATGCAACAAAAATAATTATAGATTTGAATGATAAATAAGTATTTACATTCCCAAATGATTCAACTTAAAAACTATTCAACAGCATAAAATCCAGCTGAATCTTTAAAACTTGTTATTACCCAAATGGTTTAAAATGCTTTCCACATTAATTTTCACATTAAAATGATACAAGATACAAGAAACTTTATTTTAAGTCGGTTTACAAGCATGACAAAGCTAAAATATATTAAATCATAAACAAAAAAGTTACCTTAAACCCTTTCCAATTCAACGTTTGTAAAGCTATCCAAGCATAACAAATAATTTCAGCCTGAAATGATATGTATAGTTTATATGCATTTAAAATAAGTACACTTGGGGTCAATAAACAGGACACAGTGTAATATAGAAAATGTTCTAGTTGACTGCAGTTCAAAATTTAGTAGCAGACAACCTCAATAATGTCCTAATTAGAAATTGATGTAATTTGTGAAACAAATACACTTCGATAAAACATATGAAATTTTTTTGGAATGTTGATATACTCAGTATGTAATTAGATACTGTATGAATACTAATCCTTTCAGTTTTAGCATGTAATTTGTAATATGTAATTGTAAACAAATGATAAACAAAGTAATTATAATGATAATGCTTTAAATAAAGTAGTATAAGTAGCATTAAAAGCTTCCAGATGTGATTGTGCAAAAAATATACTAAGGATGATCCAGTTTTTGGACATATTAGAATCCAGATGAAATGTCTCATAAAAATTTTAATTTTGTGGTATCAGATACTTGCAACTTTAACAATACTGGTTTCAATAAAATGGAGGAGCCAAATTTAAATAACTGGAAGTCATGCAATTACAAATAACAACTTACCTATTTAGTGAACATGTACAAACATATGAAACAACATCATCTACAAATGGCTAAACATTTTCTAAGGGAGGCAACCTTTGCCAATTTGTAGAGCGTATGCCACGAATGATTTAATTTACGCCCACCGGTCACAGTTACAACGATTTTGATTGGTTCTTTCATTTTAGCCAGGGAAGTTTGAAATTCGGTAAAACGAAGAAAATGTCTGAACAAAATATCGACCCAGCTTTAAGCGTTCGCTCAACAAAAGAAAATAATAGATCAACTACTTCGGCCAAAGATACACATTCCGTTAGCAAGAGGTATAATCTACGAAAACGTTTTCTATAAGAACGAAAAAGATTTTTATAAGATTTCGCGATGCAGTTCTATTAGATTCTATATTTTTTATAAATTTATTTTTGATTATGTGTTAACTGATGTTTTGTGTTTGTTTTTAGATTTTTTATATAGATGATAGATCTATAGATGCTATTTTAAACTTCCTTTGTATGAATAAGGCACTGTCCTCACACCCGTGCTTTTTACTCAACAAATATAAGAAATCACAGACGCTTGTGGTTTGGAGCTCAAAACGCCTTAAAAATCCAAATAAAATGCATATTTGTCAATCCCAGGACATGTACTGATCATATATATCAAAAAATCTTAATATATGCCGTTTTGAAAAAAATTCATATTTCAACATCTATAATAATACACAAGATAAAAATGTTCGCCGGAAAAAATCCGCACCCCTACCGTCATAATCACCATGTATTTTTAATCCATTTCCAATATTATCACATAATCCTTTGGTCCATCGACACAGAAGATATAATTCTTCACGATGGTGGTCAATTTTAAACTTCAACGGTAATATAAACAACGCAACAGCCGAAATAAACATCAATATTCTCGCCGTTTTTTTTTTCAACGACAAAAACTTTCGATAAATTCAATGGACCAGACGGCTATGAACGAAGCTATCCGATTATGTGGTTCCCAAACTTAAAAGCGCTGCGCATTTTGCACACGGCAAAGCTGGGGCCACATAATCGGATAGCTTCGTTCATAGCCGTCTGGTCCATTGAATTTATCGAAAGTTTTTGTCGTTGAAAAAAAACGGCGAGAATATTGATGTTTATTTCGGCTGTTGCGTTGTTTTATATTACCGTTGAAGTTTAAAATTGACCATCATCGTGAAGAATTATATCTTCTGTGTCGATGGACCAAAGGATTATGTGATAATATTGGAAATGGATTAAAATACATGGTGATTATGACGGTAGGGGTGCGGATTTTTTCCCGGCGAACATTTTTATCTTGTGTATTATTATAGATGTTGAAATATGAATTTTTTTCAAAACGGCATATATTAAGATTTTTTGATATATATGATCAGTACATGTCCTGGGATTGACAAATATGCATTTTATTTGGATTTTAAAGGCGTTTTGAGCTCCAAACCACAAGCGTCTGTGTAAGAAATTATAATTATTGGGAAGGCTATTGTACTCGCTCAGATGTTGAGATGGTGGCATCTTACTTTGATTAAGTTTTTGTTTGGAAGTTGGCCTTTTCCAATATTTCTGAAGGGAATGGTTTGAAGCTTCACACACTTGAGCCACAGATATATAAACAACGGATAGGAAACTCAGAAAATAGACGAGAGACCCACAATCCTTTGCGCGCTTGGTGATAATCGGGCTTTCCCGCTTGTCTCTGATTTTCACGCTATCCTTATACTTCTGCAATACCCGTGAATTATTGCTTACAATAATAATGGATTTTCAACAGAGAAATATTTGTGTGGAAAAGTGTGTTTTGTACGTTTTAGAATAAATAACTATTGCTTCTTATATAAGTAAAAAATGTTTAGTATTTTTTGATAATGTACCTCCGGGAATTCAATATGGCTACTTTTACCCAGGATGCATAAAATCTCGTGACATATGATATCTTGGGGGAACACAATTCCGCCAATACTGATTTTAACTGTGTGACATCACAGTCTCTTCTCCATCTTATGTTTAGCTCCATGCTTGAGCATAATGTACTATTAGGAAGCACAGGTGGCAGTGATTGGACACCCCACCCCTATCTGCCCCGGACCCTACTATAACTCTGAAAAAGAATTCAACACTCTAACGCTTATAATAAGGTACCAAATACAAAACCACCGATAAAATTATGAAAAAAAAATGTCCACTATCAAAATAATTATAGTTATTATATAGAAAGGTGAAAAGCCTTCTATATGTTCATTTGCCAAACAATGTGGAACACGGGAAATCATCGTTTTGGCGACTGAGATGATTCCGAAGGCATTTCGCTGCATCATTCATTAACATCAATAAAAAGAACTTGAATTCCACAGCTTACTTAATTCCAGTCCAACGAATATCAATATTCTATCGATTTTTTTCTGTTTCACGGTATTTTTTTTACTTGTAGCCATTTTGCAGTCTGATACCTGGGATGTAATACGTGATCTGATTGGACAAGCCTAATTGGACATCCAATCAGATCGCGTATATCACACAGGTATCAGAATCCAGGGGGGGGGCTGTTGGAAAATTATCATGTTTTGGGCAACTTTTGGCATTAGGAACACTTCAGTTTACCAGTTGTAATGTAACTATACAAGGAAAAATAGACCAACAAGGGCAGTGATTTTTCTGCTTATATGACAGACTCTGATAAAAGGCCTCTTCCCAATTGAAATTTTCTTTTAATTCATGCAGTTTTCCCAAAAATGTGAACTTAAACCTGCTTAATTACTTCCCAAATTAGCAATTTTAGCGATGATTTTTCCCAAATCAAGTGGCTAAGGCCTCTTCCCAATTCAGTGAAAAGTCACTGAAGGGTACTTAACAGGTAACCGTCAAGCACATTGTCAATGATTGTGTATTATTAACTTGTTCTTTTGTTAAAATATATTAATTGGAGGTTAATACTTGGTTGCTGCTCGCCATTCAATAATTGCCCGTAGATGTGCATAAGGGCCGCAGGCCCGAAGGACATTATGAACTCAAGGGCCATTTAATACCTATTCCCGAAATACGGCATTTAAACACTGCTGCTAATCTTGGTTGTCGCCCTTTCTAAGAAACGAACAGTTGTCATTGTAAACAGATACCTGTCATGTACAGTTTTACCATCCGATTAACTTGGAAAACATGACAACACAAAATAAATATAAGGAAATGTTGTTTTATTGTTGTTTTTATCGATTTTGTGAGAATTACATTTAGATCAAGTGCCAGTTATTTATGAAGTTTTGTGCTTTCAATCTTGAACAGTTTTTGAGACTGATGTCCAGGTCTGAATGCCACCGATTCGATGTCTTTCCTACTGTCATCTTAAATCATTTTTAGAATTTCTGAGGGTCATGTATTGTCTTGCGTTTATAAATCTTTAATGTTAAGCTTTGCTGATTGTGATTAATAATGCCATTTAACTTTTAAAATATTTTGTGTACAAGTGACTACAGTTCATTCAACGTCAGCAGCCATCTTGAAAGTCACCGAGAGTTGATTGTGCTCATTCACTCGCTCTTTATGGAAAAATAATGGCGAGTAGCAAGGCGGCCAAAATTGCATAATGACCTAGATCTTGCCATAATGGCCCTGAAATACCCTAGATTTTGTTACTATATATAGTAACATAGGTATTAAGTATAAATTATAATATACTACTATAATCTCTATTTCTTTTCTTTTTTTCAGATTACAGCAAGAACTCAGAACACTTCTTGTAAGTATATACTTCCACAGTTTAAAAGCCGTGCAAGTTCCTAAATATAGACTTTAATTTGAGAGTACAGCCACAGTCTGTCGGGAAAAATTGTCTGTTTGCCACTTTATAAATTAAATTTATATCATAGTGTACATTCTTTTCTTGCTTGTATAAAGTATTAGAATCAGTGTGAAAAACGTTCTGTTTTAAAAGTTCACCACAACAGAGCTTTCAATATAACTGTGTTGAAAATACAGAAAAAAGAAAATGTTTCCTTTCTTTGTCAAGCTTTAAATAAAAACTCAACATTAAAATGAAAAAAATTGTTAAAAAATGTTTTGGAATATTCATTAAAATAACATCACAGTAAAAAAAACAACAAAATTACTGTACCCTGTCTTGCAAGCCATTACAAATCGATTTGTACCCAGTCTTGTGATAACAATCATGTGTTACTCCTTTTCACTGCACCTTTCTTAGGAATCTTTATATTTTATCTTGAACCTTTCTTGCCATAACAAGAAGTAGACTTGTTAATATACTGTGAACGATAGAGATTCTCAGATTGGCAGGCCAATTTGGCACAAGAATGCCATGGAAAGTAAGATGCGATGTTTCAATTAAACTTGATTTTATACTTACAGATGTCTGGTGATCCAGGAGTGTCAGCATTTCCAGATGGTGATAATCTCTTCAGATGGGTTGCTACCCTACTTGGACCAAAGGGCACAGTATGTCTTTTTGATAATCTCATATTTTTATTTTCAATTCACTTTAGTTGCCCGCCTCCAGAAATGTGATTTTTTTTCTTAGGATAGTGAACCTCATATTAAGTTTTCTGTTTCAAAACAAACAAATGTGAATACACATGGTGTAAAGTGCCATTAAACATGACTTTAGTTAAGTCCTCTGCAAAGTAATATATTTTGGTGCAATTTAGCATAAGCAAACTTGCAAACCATAAAGTGGTACTGTAGTTTGTGTTCTTACTCAGCACTTGGCCACTGACTCAAACTTAATTTAATAATGTGTAGTTGATTAACACGTGAGCACATGTCCCATTTCTCCCAAAGTGAAAAGTAAACACTGAAAATGTTCTATTAGGAAATGTGACTGGTTTAAAGATATAAAACTTTGATCTTATTCCTACACATGCAATGAATGTTATTCATATTCTTTCAATCATTATTTGTAGGCATATGAAAGCCTTAGTTACAAACTATCACTAGAATTTCCCAGTGGTTACCCATACCAGGCACCTACAGTCAAGTTTGAGACCCCATGCTGGCATCCAAATGTAGATCAGTCTGGAAACATTTGCCTCGATATTTTAAAAGAGAAATGGTCAGCCCTATATGATGTGAGAACAATACTGCTGTCATTACAAAGTCTTTTAGGAGGTAAGTGTGAAATTCAATTCAATGTTAAATCTGCACATTTCCAGACACAGACACTTGTGGTGTGGATCGGATATAAACACCTAAAAAATGATTCACATTTGAAATACAGTATACACTTATTCGACTGAGCTCAAATTGTTTTTAATGGTTTGTATAATTAGTATTTTGGTTAAGATTTACAAAAACAATTTTTTATTTGGTTTAAAATATGTGTATGGTTGGTATTGGTGTGATAAATTTGATCCGCACATCAAGTGTCAGTGAGTAAATTTGATCATATGTTGCAATAAACATGCAAAGAGCCACATAGACATTGACTGAATTACATGTATATGTTTTTAGCTCACCTGTCACAAAGTGACAGGGTGAGCTTTTGTGATCGCTTTTCGTCCGTCGTCCGTAAACTTTTACTTTAAATGACATCTCCTCATAAACCACAAGGCCAATTTCATCCAAACTTCACAGGAATGTTCCTTTGGTGGTCACCTTTAAAAATTATTCAAAGAATTTAATTCCATGCAGAACTCTGGTTGCCATGGCAACCGAAAGAAAAAACTTTAAATATCTTCTTTAAAAAAACCATAAGAGCTACAGCTTAGATATTTGGCATGAAACATCTTCTAGTGAGTGTCTACCAAGTTTGTTCAAATAAAAGCCCTGGGGTCAAAATTGGCCCCGCCCCGGGGGGTCATTGATTTTCGCTATATGCATATAGTAAAAACTTAAAAAATCTTCTTTTAAAGAACTCAAAGAGCTATGGCTAAGATATTGAGCATCAAACATGTTCTAATAGGTGTCTACCAAGTTTGTTCATAGAAAAGCCCTGGGGTCAAAATTGGCCCCGCTCCAGGGGGTCATTGATTTTCCCTATATGCATAATTATAGTAAAAACTTAAAAAATCTTCTTTTAAAGAACCAAAAGAGTAAACATGTTCTAATAAGTGTCTACCAAGTTTGTTCAAATAAAAGCCCTTGGGTCAAAACTGACCCCGCCCCGGGGGGTCATTGATTTTCCCTATATATGCATATAGTAAAAACTTAAAAAATCTTCCTTTAAAGAACTCAAAGAGCTATGGTTAAGATATTTAGCATCAAACATGTTCTAATAGGTGTCTACCAAGTTTGTTCAAATAAAAGCCCTGGGGTCAAAATTGGCCCCGCCCCGGGGGTCATTGATTTTCCTTATATGTGTATAGCAAAAACTTAAAAAATCTTTTTTGAAAAAACCCAAATAGCTAGAGTTAAGATATTAAGCATGAAACATCTTTTAGTGAGTGTCTACAAAGTTTGTTCAAATAAAAGAAGTGGGGTCAAAATTGGCCCCGCCCCGGGGTCATTGATTTTCCTTATATGTCACTTGTGTATAGCAAAAACTTAAAATCTTCTTTGAAAAAACCAAAATAGCTAGAGTTTAGATATTAAGCATGATACATATTCTAGTAAATGTCTACAAAGTTTGTTCAAATAAAAACCCTGGGGTCATAACTGGCCCGGCCCTAGGGGTGTCATTGTTTTTAACTATATGTGTATAGTAAAAACTTAAAAAAAATCTTCTTTTAACCCATTACTTCATGAGCATTTTGTGAAAAAAGGCTGTTTTCATTGAAAAGTCTCCCGTTGCAAGTTCAAATTGCTATAATACTAAAAAAACTGCTTCAACACTAATCAAACTTGGCACAAATGTTGACTGGACCATTGCCATTGCAACAACATACTCAGGCTTAAATTTTCTGTTACCATGGCAACGAGGGGACATCTCAAAATTGCCAAAAATCACTATTTTGCGTTGATTTTTTCCATCAAAATTGATTTCAAAGTGCTGCAACTTCTCAATGGATTGAGATAGAGTCAAATGCTTTTCAGCGTTGGTTACACGTTACCTTATGATCAATCTGGGGTCATTTACAGCCTCTCACAAGTCCAAAATTTTCTTGGCGATGAGGGGGACTACCGCCCCCCTTCAAACCCCCCAAACAGAAGGGGGCACATCCCCCTTCTGGCAACCCTATGATGTATCTTTTGGTTGGGGGCCGCGCCGAAAAAGAGGTCACTTTTTTTAACAACATTTCTCAAACAAAAACAAGTATTTGGGGCCTAAATAAGGCATTTTTTCATCATTTGAGACAACAAAAAGGGGGGGGGGGGCGTTAAAAGGCGTGTATATGAAGTAATGGGTTAAATAGCCCAATGAGCTAGAGCTTAGATGTTAAGCATGAAACATCTTCTTATGGGTGTCTACCAAGTTTGTGCAAATAAAAGCCCTTTGGTTAAATTGGCCCTGCAACGTTTGGGGGGGAGGTGGGAGGGCCTATATACAGGTGAGCGACCTCAGGGCCATCATGGCCCTCTTGTGAGTTATTGCCCTTTGTTATTTTCAAAATTAATTTTTGTCCAGAGCATAACTCAAAAAGCCTTGAAACATGAAACTTCATATGTGCATAGATCTCACTCAGGAGGTGTGCAGTGCACAAGAATGATAACTCTACCTTTCATAATTTTTGAGTTATTGCCCTTTGTTGAACATAACTCAAAAAGTGTTTGAGATATCAACATGAAATGTCATAGGTGGATAGATCTTATTGAGGAGGAATGCTGTGCGCAAGAATGATAACTCTTGGCTATATAATTTTTGAGTTATTGTCCTTTGTTCTTTTTCATACTATTTTGTAGGGATCTTATCTAAAAAAGTATTTGAGGTATCAACTTGAAACTTCATAGGTGGATGGATCTCATGGAGTAGGAGTGCAGTGCAGAAGAATGATAACTCTACCCTGCATAATATTTGAGTTATTGCCCTTTGTTATTTTTCAAATTGAATTTTTGTCCAGAACATAACTCAAAATGCCTTTGAGATATCAACATGAAACTTTATAGGTGCATAGAGCTCACTCAGACGTGTGCAGTGCATAAGATTGATTACTCTACCTTTCATAATTTTTGAGTTATTTCCCTTTTGTATTTTTCATACTTAATTTTTCACCTGAGTGGAGTCATAACTCAAAAGTGTTTGAGGTGTCAATGTGAAATGTCATAGGTGGATCATATTGAGGAGGAATGCTGTGCCAAAGAATGATAACTCTTCCCTATATAATTTTTTAGTTATTGCCCATTGTTCTTTTTCATACTATTTTGTAGGGAGCTTATCTCAAAAAGTATTTGAGGTATGAACTTGAAACTTCATAGGTGGATATATTTTACTGAGGAGGGGTGCAGCACACAAGAATGATAACCTATCCTGCATTATTTTTCAGTTATTGCCCTTTGTTATTGTCAGCCATCAGTATTCACATAGGTTTAAAATCTGTAATCACTTCAGCCATCAGTTTCGATTACCAAAAGACCTCTTAAAATTGAATTATTCTGCTCTACTACATATACATTTCTTCCAATAAGCAAACACATTCGGCGGGAGATGGCCATGTTGATATGGCTCTTGTTCAAATTTATAGCCCTTGGGTCAAAATTGGCCCCTACCCCAGGGGGGTCATTGATTTTCCTCACATTTATATAGTAAAAACAACAAAAAATCTTCTAATATAATAGCATTGCCGACGTGAACACCTATACAAATTGATTTAATCATACCCCTTTGATCCAAATTGATCCCTCCTAATGACTTGCTTTAGCATTTAAGAATTGTGACTTTTTCTAGAAATTAAGTTGAGTGATATAGGGCCATTATAGCCCTCTTGTATTGTTTTGTACATTCTACACTTGACTATTTCATTATTCTTATTGACCTGAGACAATTGTGGCTGATGACTGCATTAAACAGGGTCATTTAATATACAGGGTATATATATATAATAAGCACTTGATTATATACAGATGTATACAGGGTACAAACTATAAAATAAGAACAAGAACTACAAGAAACATTTATGAAACAAGACTTTTAATAAATATTGCCAACAATAGAAAGCTAAAAACTGTTTTTGACTACTGTATAAAAAAAAAAAAAGCTTTAAAAAACATTCACCTTATAAGCCAAAATTTTAAATACATTTTCACAAGCAATACTGGTCCTCCACACAAGATGCTCTTAACTCTTAAATATAAAGTCAGATATTCCAAGTCAATGAAGTTGGCATCATTCTTTCAATTTAACTTGTTTAATGTTAATTATAAGTAATTATTATCACAAAAATAATATGTGATAAAAAGTGTAACGACGGGCCTATATTTTTGTCATTTTAGCTGTTTGATATCATTGAAAACTAAAGTCTTCATACATTCTTTTTTTTATCTAAGTTTATTGGATAGCCAGTAAGCCAGAAAGGAGCTTACATATATGGATGTTTGCAGCATTGTTCCTTGCCCTTTGTCGAAGAGAAAGCATGTAGCATTTTTAATGCTACTTGAGGTCTGTTTTTTCTTGTTCCATACATTGTCCTAAAATGTTTAGAGCTGTTTCTCTATGTCTGAGGTTTACATCTGTTTCTATGGTTCTGATTAAGTTTACCAAGTGCTTGTTGTTGATCTTGATGTCTTTGTAGATGACGATAAATCTTGTATTGTAGGAAATACAAGAAAGGTAGAGAATCAACTACAGCCATGTCCATCCAACAGTCTTTAATTTCATGTCTGTGTATCATGTCATCTTGTGTAGATCTGAACATTTCATATTGTAGTTCATGAGGAACACAGTTGATCTCTCCCTGTATTAAATCTGACACAAAATGCTGTAATATGCTTGATACAGTTCACACTTTGCTCACCACATAATCTCTCGAATTCTTCTGTTACTGCTTCAAGGGGCTGAATATTGCATCCACAGATAGGTAAAACAGGATAGGAGTAATATTGTTGTTCTGTGTGCCTCAGAATTAGTTCAGCTTTCTCCATTTCTCCTGTACTGTAAAACACTGAAGCCAGTTTAAGTCTGCTAGATGAGATATCTGAGTTTAAAAAACCAGCTGATAGCCAAACCAATGCTTGAGGTGACACTTGATTATTTTCACCAATTCTGTAAGATGCTAGGATAGATCCATATGTGGTAA